CTTTGAAACCCAACATTTCAATAATAAAATTTGGAGCAGCTGCCACTCTTCAGTGACAACACAACTTTTGTGTCATACACACCTTTTAATTTGGTGTGGATTTCAGAGAATTGCATCTTTAGCAGTCAATCATTTCACTAGGATGGATCTTGTAATCATAAACGGTGCACAGAAAAGGCTGATTATTTTAAAGTAATTCAAAGACTCTTTATTTTTTCAAAACATTAATATTGGTATAAAATTTTAATCAGGATTTTCTTGTTTGGAGTTATTTCTAAATGGTCAAAAGGGGAAAGTGACACAAGTGATGTTCAGGTTTGCTGAGGTTGTTTTTTTTATAGATAAAATAAACCGTTACAGAGTATAATAAACCATTTACTGTTTGGTGGCAATAGCTTGGAGGCTAGCTTACAGGAAAAAAAAGATAAAATAAAATTTAAAAAAAGCATTTTTTTCCTGCATAGTGTAGCCAAATTAGAGTATTTAACAACTGCCAATGTATTGTGCTTCTTAGACACCTCAACATTCATTTGTATAATTCGAATATCCGGACTTCTTTGTGTTTTCACTTTCTCTATTTTCTATTATGTTTTCTGAACTAATACAATAAATTATTTCCAACGGAACAGATATATAAGGTCTGGATTTGACAACTACAATTTTGTCGTCTTCTTTCTCCTCTCGCTCTGAATCAGACTCTGGCTCCAACATGTAAGGCTGGATTGTTGACATTTTTTAGTTAATTTGTCAATAAAATGTTTCTGTGCCACTATATACTTGTAGTCCTAAACCCCTCTATCAAACTAGAATGGACTGCTCTGTTGGCTGGAGAGGGGCGAGGTGTGAAGCACCTCGTTTGGATTTAAAGAGACAGCCTCAAAACGAGTTGATCTTAGACACACCTCAGAAAAAGTGGGAAAGAGGGGCTCGTGGAGTTAACTTACAGTAAGGAAGAATTCAGACCAAAGCATTGCAGTTCCACTTTATATAGACACCAACTGAATGATTTAAATGTGAAAAAGAATAATTGACAGAAAGTATTTGACAGAAATTATTCCATCATAACAAAGTTTGACCACAATCTACTGTTTTTTTTTCCTTCAACTTGAAAATGTGAACCTGTGGTGAAGCAGTGTTGGAGAAAATAAAAGGATTTACCACCGACAGCGTCTCTAACTGGAAGGCTTTTGTTTTCTACACAATTTACTCAGAAAGGCACAGTTAAAATAATTTTTTATGCATTTTCTTCCACGTCTATTTTATCGTTGCAAAATAATTATAACAGTTATTTGTTTTTCATGGGTTTAGCAAACATCTGATGCAGACTGATTAAATTATTTCAAAATAGACAAATGTTTCAGTTAAGATATTACCCTTTGCTAGGATCATTGTATAGCATTTTTACATATTAAATACCGTTGCATAAAATACTAGAATTTTAATTGTTTTGCATAATCTCAGCAGACATGATTTTTGTCTTTTTAGACAATCAGTCAAATGTGCCAACCTTAGGTATGGACTGTATATCACCTTTTAATTATTTACTTACAAACTGTTAATTTAAACCACTATTGTAGCTTTCATTGTCAGTTTAAAATCTCAGTTTTACACTGGCAATTCACCAGTAACCACCACTGTAATATTGTCATTCAGTGATCACTAGCTGACATGAAAAAACATTTTTTTCAAGAAGTTTGATTGATTTCTTATATTCATTTCAGATGTTGTGCAGAATCTGTTTTTGAAAATTACCTGTGATGTGATCAAATGAAAAATACACACAGGAATAGATGCAAACTTTAAACACTTAAATCTTCCCTTTTTTGAATATAATCCAAATGTTTTCATTAAAATGCTGTGATAATCACACAGCCAATCACTGTCTTAAAACAGAATTTGTGAGCAGGATTAATTGATGCCTACAATGACTTTACTCATTTTAATTCATTAGCTCCACTTTGTGAAGCTACAGAAAACCCTGTTTTGAAATGAGAATATTAGTGTTGGGCAATTTGTGCAGCTATGAACCTGATTAGAAAAAGGAAGATCCCCAAGTGAAAACAACCAAATCCCAAAGCACAGTGAATAATGGATCATTTGAAAATGCCACAAAACCTTTTCTGACCGCACAAGATGGCCGATCCAGGGAAGCAAGGCCCCTATCTGAGAGGGAAATGTTTGGTTGGATTAAAGCTGAATTAAGTAAATGTTTAATGTTGAGTTGAATTTCTGAATGTCTTGTTGCTCTTACATTAAAGAAGAGTTTATCATCTACATGGCTGGACGGCCAACTTACAGTATTCTACACTTTATTCAGCCTAAGGTTTTCAAATCTTTTATTCCCCAAAGCTGTTAGTGGGACTTGGAAAACACAACATGATTGAAAACATTACCTGCTTCAAGATTTGTAACAATAAACAAGTTTGTGGTTGGAAAGTACAGCTGTAACTATTGATGCTTTAGTAAATTGTGTCGTGTCTGCACATAAGGGTGAAAAGTTAATTATTGGTAAATGGATGTTGGCAGGCAGGTAGAGGAAGCTTGTTTAAGGGGATTTTTTATGAGGGTCTTGGTTTTTCTTTGAGGTTTGATTAGAAAGTCTGCAGCTTGTGTGGCAGTGCTTTCCTAAAAATCCACAGTGTTTGTTGCTTTGTGACTTATGATACACACGAGGGTGGCTGAAAAGATCATTTGGCTCGCTGTCTGCAGTCTTGCAGGCTACAATCTGTGCTGCAAACATGCCAGACCATGTTTTTTAAAAGAAAAAAAGGAAAAGGAAAAAAAATCTGTTATTTGCTTTACTAGTTCATAAGAAAAATACTGATTAGTTATTGGAATAGAAATTTGTAATATTAATATTTAATGTAATTAATGTAATATGGCTTATTATGATATAATCTGAAATGTTTCAATCATCAGATTGACACATTAATCATCAGAGTTGGAGTGATTTGTCAGATATTTTTTGTGACATTTGAATTTGTTCTTTTATGTACATTTTCTAACAGACTTTTTTGTAGATCATTTTATAATAGTCATGGATAAAATATGACAACATAGTTATAAATGAACATATTGTACAAATAAATAACAAAGCCCTAAAAAGTGTTCTTGTATTTATAGGAATTGTTCAAATGTTCAATTATTTAGTTTTATTTATTAACTTTTATTTTTCAGTTACAGTGCAATGTAATCTACCAACATCTTTGAAAAATAGCTTTTTCTTTTTTCTATTATTCATATTCTGTTAGCACTTTGTGTGAGTGAAGTGCAAATATAAAGTTGCCTCTACTTTTGGAGAAAATAAATAAATTCAAAAATGTCAGATTTAGTGTTTTAGTCAAGTTTCTGAAAATAATTGAAGTCATGTACTGAAACATCCTTTAAGTGTTATGCTTGTGCACATTCCTGATCAACATTTTTGTGTGTGTGTGCTTTGCAAGTTCAAGCAGTGACTTTGATGTCCTGTGAGCCTCTGTGCAGCTTCTGGTTTTCATCTTGAGGTCCTTTGGAGTCCTCACTAAATCCGCTTTCTTATATATTACCACTAAATTGCATCAGCAATATGGTGGTATCAATTGCCGTCTGTCTTAATGATGAAATGATACATTTTGTGTGCATTTTTTATGCAATTTATTTATTTTTTATTATTTTTTGTTTTGATTAGAATAAAGCTGCATGCAGGTTAAAAATAATTTATTAGTCAACATGATTGCTGTTTGGATGACTGTAGAGGAACGTGCAAAACGTTCTGATTACACTTATTGCGTACACGTCCACACTCATGATTACTGCTCAGTTATAAACAAATGGATTATATTCCCTGTGGAGAATGACCCAACATTGTGCAATTAGCTCATGTAATAACTTGTGTGTTGGTAAATGGGGACATGTTTCTGTCAATGCAACTGATTCATAGCTAATTATGATGTTCATTGTTTCTATTTTACCTCAGCTTGTTTGGAAGCACTTGCAGCAAAAATCAAATTCTTGCTGAATTTCAAAACTAAACTAAATCTGTTCTATGAAGGATGCTATTAGACACTATTAGTGAACAAGTCTGTATGTTGCCCATGAAAATGAAATCATACTTTTCATTCATACTGCAGCAATAAAACCAAATGAATGTAAAAAAATATCTATCATCCCTTGAAGAATTACAGATTCCCTGCCAGAGTTTTTAAACTAAGATCAAATAGCTGTTATGTTGATAGTCAGCTGATAGTGCACATGATCCTCTATGAACTGTATGACCTACTTATTTTATTTATTTATTTAATTATTTATTTATTTATTGAATAGCTGTTATAATTATAGCTATTTTGGTCAAACATAGAAAATAAATTAAGCACAAAATCAGTATAATTGTGTGGGCTATTGAGGATGACTCTCAGCTACATTCACAACAAATTGTATCTTTATTTGTGAATGGACTGAGCTATTTGGATTTGTTAAATGTGATTGTCTATGGTGTGTGAATTTAGCCAGTTTGAATTATGTTCAGTTCAAAATGTAAATGGTTTTATAAGTACAACCAGTGGTTACTCAATGAAAGTTTTGTTAAAATCCATCCAGTTAGGACTTTTATTTTGCTAACAGACCTACAGACACACACAGGCAAAAAAAATAAATAAAAAAAATAACATTTTCACTACCTGTCACCTTGAGATGGGTGGTAATATAATAAAACAATATACTTGTGTTTGTGGTTATTTGAAGAAATGATCATTGATTGCAGATAATTCTTTTTTGTTGTTGTTTTTTTCTTGTTTCTAATGTGTGTTTTCTAGCATCTCTATATTTAGTTGAAGTGCAGTTTATTATTAAACAGTTGTTTGTGTCAGCCTAATATATTTTCAGATTAATGCAGTCCTGAAATGGTTGCTGTTAAGAATATTTCTCATTTATGTGACAAACTGTCACCAGCTAATTGTCATCATGTTGAGCAGGATTTGTTACACAGCAAACTGAATATTGTCTTCTTTCCTTGTCTTCCACAGGTTGAAAATTCTCCAGTGTGATCTCCCAGGCCTGGTCGTGTTGTCAGCATGGGCTGCTGGGATTGCACCACCATCCTGTCGCCTGCTCTGAGGCTAGCAGTTGTTACTGGGATTCTCCTCCTTAAGCTCCATCCCACGCTGGCTGGTGCCCCTCCTGAGCCAAACCTGGGCAGCTCAGTTTTGGCGGTGTCCACAAACAAAACTGAATGCAGCAAAGCTGAACAGTGTGAAAAGGGGGTCCTGCTACCTGTTTGGGAGCCCCGGAACCCATCATTTGGAGACAAGGTCGCACGGGCTACGGTGTATTTTGTGGCTTTGGTTTACATGTTCCTTGGCGTGTCAATCATTGCAGACCGTTTCATGGCATCAATAGAGGTCATCACATCGCAGGAAAAAGAGATCACCATCAAGAAACCCAACGGAGAAACCACCACGACTACGGTTCGGATCTGGAATGAGACAGTGTCCAATCTCACCCTCATGGCTCTGGGCTCCTCTGCTCCTGAAATCCTTCTGTCTGTCATAGAAATCATAGGTCATGGCTTTCACGCTGGCACACTAGGCCCCTCTACCATTGTGGGGTCTGCAGCGTTCAACATGTTTGTCATCATCGGGATTTGCGTGTATGTCGTACCTGACGGCGAGACGAGGAAGGTCAAGCACCTTCGCGTCTTCTTTGTCACGGCCGCCTGGAGTATCTTCGCTTACATTTGGCTCTACCTGATCCTGTCCGTGATCTCTCCTGGAGTTGTGCAGGTGTGGGAGGGCCTGCTCACTTTCCTCTTCTTTCCTATTTGCGTGGTGTTTGCCTGGGTGGCTGACCGCCGCCTGCTGTTTTACAAGTATGTGTACAAGCGTTACCGCACTGGCAAGCAGCCACGGATGATCATCGAGACAGAGGGCGATCGTCCACTTCCTTCCAAGGTAAAGTCATGAAAATGCACACTGAGAGTTCACAGAAATAAAACTAAAATATGAAGAAGGAAAAAGATGAACTGATACTATTTATTGCAGCTAATGTATTGTTTTATACATTATGCTAACTTACCATAACAAAAAAATGTTTAGATTAGGAATGTAAAGATAAACCAGGTCACACCAATACATGAACGTACCCGTTTGATGACTTGATCACCTGTGCATCCTTGCAGTAAAGGGGCAATATCATGTAAAAACTGTTTTTTTTAGCTTGATATCATGTTATAACTTTATCCCTTCATCAAAAACATACACAGAGTGTTGCTTTGACTCATTCATGCGTGTTTGATAAATCCTTTTATGAAGCCACAGAAAGACACATAAAGAATAAATAGGCTTGAATAAAGGTTGGAATCAATTTTACAGCTTCGGCAGCTGTTGCTGTGTGGTGTTTTCCCAATTTCTGGTTCAGATCAGTTCATAACTTTATGTAAATTCAGTAAACTTGTGTAAATTTTGTAAGCAGTGCGTGAGGGGGAGGGGTAACCATACTTATTTTATAAGCACAGAGAGAGACATAAACAGAATAAATTGCGCCAGCTCGGAAAGAGGAGGAGGGAAGCAATTTTACATCTTTAACAGTTGTTGTAAAAATAACACTTGATATGGATCATGTTGATCGAAACATATCCCAGAAAGAAAATGCTATTTTTTATTTATAATATACAAAAAATATTTTGCTGCATTCTGCTGAGTTACTTGTATTTTTAAATATATTAGCTGCCATTGGAACTATTTTTTTCATATTTGTCAGGTTTTACAAAAGTGAATTAGTGTAAACAAAGCCATTCCTTTGCCTTGTTCTTTGTAGAGTGGAATATGTTAAATTACATCATGCTGTGGATAAAAGCTGAGGTATATTTGTTTTTGCTTCATACATAACTTGAATGAGCCAGATCATTGGCAGTGTATCGAGGTGTACCGCATCGTGAAATTCTAATTCCTAGTTTACCTACTTACTCTTGATGAAAACATTTCACAAGGCAACTAGTGAAAATCATGAAATACTCTTTTCAAATATCATTCTTGGTAAGCAGAAATAAGTTACATGTGCTGCATTTGTAACAAATTATATAGAATCAAATAGATTGAACGGATGCTAACAAACATATTACTGCAAACACAAATAGCCTTTAAAGTAATCCTACCTTTTTAATTTCCTGTTTAACTGCTATCAGATTCTGTGTGGGGTGATGCACTGCTTGGATGGATCTAATTACATTTTCATTGTTGTTGTGGAGAGTACATTTATATTTGCTACTCACAGAAATAAAACCTTCTCTGTGTCAATGTTCTAAATTTAGAAACAGCTTCTGTTTTAATTATGCCTGTTTCTTTGAGATTAATAAAAATTGTTGCTCTTTTTTATTTTTATTTATTTTTTTACATCAAGAGCATTTTCACATCAGCTTGTGGTGTACAAATCTGCTGATGTCATTCCAACAGTATTCCAGAGGGAAGAGCGTAATCACTGCCATCTTGCTTTAAGAGCTAAAAGACAGTTTGCTGATTAAAATCATTCTCAGAGGAACACATAAATGCACGGTCTGGACCTCTTTAATCTGATAGCTGCAAAAAAAGAGTAAAAACACAATGAATGGCCACACTGTTTACTTAAAAGAAAATACTATATTTGACTAAATTCTCTAAAGCTTATGTTACAGATAAAATGGGTTTTATAAAGAAATGTTTCTGTTATTGTTGTTGTTTTTAATGTCAATAAGAATATTCACTGCTTGAACAGTATAAAGCAGGACAAAACCAAAAATACATTTTACTGGCAGAGATTTCAAGCACTTTGAACTGATGTTATTTTAAAGCCCTAGACCAGCGGTGGATTGAATTTCTTTCTTTTTTTTAAATCAAATGTCATTTTAATTTTTAAGGTGGACATTGAGATGGATGGGAAGATGCTGAACTCTCATGGTGTTGACTTTCTGGATGGGCCTCTTGGCTTAGACATTGATGAGAAGGATCTGGATGAGGAGGAGACTCGCCGAGATATGGCTAAGATCCTGAAGGAGCTCAAACAGAAACACCCTGACAAGGAGGTTGGTAACAAGTTTAACATGATGCATGGTTACAGCTGGCCTCTGGCATTTGTCTTCCTTTCTGTATAAAACAAAATGACAAAATAGTCTGGAACAGATGATGTACTTTCTGGCTTCTTCTATTTCAGTGATTATAGGCCTATTTCAATGTGAAGTCAAACATGCACTGTGCTGTCCTAATTTCTCAGCAGCAGGCAAAACAACTAATGCACTGAAGTAAGGCTTAAAATGTACAGAAGTTTTTGACAAAGAATGCAAACAATTGGAATATCAAAGTCTTTGTGCACAAAGGTTTTATACAATTAGGCGTTTAAATTTGTATAGTTTTCTAAAAACAAAAACTAAGCTGATAGGGAGGGGTTTGGTACAGAGACATAGCTCTTCTACAGTACATCTACTCGCTAAAACTGTGGAGGCCTTTAGGTCACTTGTGTTTGTGGACTCATGTTACTACTGTAATATTTCCATTTGTTTATTGTTATATTTTATATTTAGAATTAGCTTGAAAAATAAACCTGACCAAATCTAGCAGGGCCAACCCTAGTCAATTTGGGGCCAAAGGCAAAATTTCAGGTGGCTCCCTTGTGCAATTTTTTAAATCGCACTGCTAATTTACATATACTCACATATCAAATTAAAATATATTGTCTTTAAAATTTCTATTTTTTTATCTTTACAAATCAGGTTGTCGAATTAAAATGGTTACCGTATTTTTCGGACTATAAGCCACACCGGACTATAAGCTGCACCCCCAACATTAAAAAAAAAAACAGTACACCCAAATTTTGCCATCAAAAAAGTGAATTCAACATCAAAACATAAAAAGCAAACTTTTAGGAATTGAAGTTTGGAGGAATACGGTTCATTTAATGGACCTTATTTTGGTAGTTTTCTTTAACAGTTTCTGGTCCAACAAAACGTCTCATTCATCGTCCTCCGGCGCACTGAAACCATCGAAATCCTCCTCTTCAGTGTCGGAGTTAAACAAGCTGAGAAAAGCTGCGTCACACAGCGGTATCTTTTGTCCTCCCGGGGTAATGCTGGCTCTGAAGCTGTGGTGGGATAGCCCTCCCGCCCCAGCATACGTCACTGCATGGAATTCCTTCCCCGGGGAGTGCAATGAGGAAAAAAAAAGTCTGCGGCTCTTCACTCGACATTTATCCACAAACTGGTCCTGGATTAAGCTCCAAACTTTTTATCAGTCAGATTCCACTGTGAAAAATGTCTGTTTTATCCCCTTTTATGAGTTTTTGGCCATTGACTATCTTTAAATCGCTGCTTCCTGGTCAACAGTCGGCTCTGGAAGCAATCGCTTTTTTCTTTTTTTTTCCTTTCTTTTTTTTTGAAGCGAGTGGTTGAAGCAAATGGAGCATAAGAGCCCCCTGGTCTGAAGAAAAAAATCCATGTATAAGCCACACCGATCTATAAGCCGCATGGTTAAAAGTTCAGGAAAAAAGTTACGGCTTATAGTTCGAAAAATATGGTAATATAATTCATTTTAGACAAAATCATCCCCCATTTGTGGTGCCCCCCAGATGGACTGTGCCCTTAGCATTTGCCTATAGTGCCTATGCCACGGGCAATCTAGTTAGAGCTTCCTCCCACCTCAACTGAACAGAAGTGGCTTGACTGAGATTTACACAAATGGCATCATCTGTCGAAACGTCTATCCACAGAGAACTCTTGATAGCCTAGCTTTACTGCTGCAGTGGGCACTGATGATAAAATCTATCCTTCTTAAGACACACTCATAGTTACAGAGATTACTAGACACCTGGTACCTTTAGAGTTTCCGCAGTGCAAACGAGAGTGTTTTGACACCTCATAACCTCCAAACAAAAATAGTTACTTGTGGATTTCATATTCTCTAGTGTGAGTAACAGTAATTCAACACTTGCTGACTGTACATTCCAAGCACTTATTAGGGATTAAATGGTCGTTGTGCATCAAATAGTTAAATCCTTAGTACATCTTTGCTGTCTGTACAGCTAATGTATACAATATTTTTTCTCTGTATTATTTCTGGCTCTTAGCTAAGGCCTACTTGTGCTAGTGTCTTGTTTTCCACCAGTCAGTGTACTGTGCAAGCACAAAAATCCGAAATCAAAACAAAAACACACAATGAGTCTATTTAGCTATTGCCTCACCAGTGTTTTAGTTATCAAGAGAAATGGGTTTAAGGCTGTTCAAGGTAAGATTACCTAAATGTTACAGGACAAGTGAAGTGTGGTCTTTGTAATCCATCATTTTATGGAAGAAACCCACCTGTAATATAAACATTAATTGACACTAAGATGTGCAACACTGTCACAAGCAGTAATGTACAACACTGGCTTCAGTGTAGCCATGTTTATTTAATCTTGCATGCTGACAACTCTGATTAGCTCATCTGTTTACTGTTAGTGATCACTTTATCTGCAGTACATTAAGTGATGACTGCTGATTAACTTAGAAGCTTAATTAAATATAACCAACAGAAAGTTGCAAACAAGGACAATTATTTGAGGAATTCTGCTGCTATCAAATGGTGTGAAAAATGATTACTGCCATGCACGTTTCTGTTTCTGTTAAAGCCATTTAACTCTGACCTATAAACAATTTTGGCATAAAAGACTCTTGAACTCAAGTAATGAACCACATTTTTGTATCTACACATAAAAAGCAGCTTGAAAAATACATTTTGAATTTGATTGTTTTGGTACCTTACCTGTGGATCAAAAAAATATTTGGTGGATTTTGAGCAAAGCAGCTTTGTAAAATTGCTTCTGTTGGCAATAATTTTGTTTGGGGACAGTTTGATGATTACTATTGTTTCTTTTGCATTTTTATTTATTTTTTCTTTCACCAGGTGGAACAACTCATTGAGCTTGCCAACTACCAAGTTCTGAGCCAGCAGCAGAAAAGTCGAGCTTTCTATCGATGCCAAGCCACCCGGCTGATGACAGGCGCTGGCAATATTCTGAAAAAACACGCTGCCGATCAGGCACGGAAGGCCGTCAGCATGCACGAGGTTCGCTCTGACGCTGGTGATAACGATCCCATCTCTAAGATCTATTTCGAACCAGGTTCATACCAGTGTCTTGAGAATTGTGGCACCGTGGCTGTGAATGTGGCGCGGCGAGGCGGCGACCTGGGCAAAACTGTCTCCGTGGAGTACCGGACCGAAGATGGCACGGCCAATGCTGGCTCTGACTACGAGTTCACCGAGGGGGTGGTGGTGTTCAAGCCTGGTGAGACGATGAAAGAGATCCGCGTAGGCATCATTGATGACGACATATTTGAAGAGGACGAAAACTTCCTCATTCACCTTTCGAGTGTCAAGGTGTTGACGTCAGAAGGGGAGGAGCCGGAGGAAGGTGAATCGGCGAACCACGTAGACTCTGTGGCATGTCTCGGCATTCCCTCCACAGCGACCGTTACCATATTCGACGACGACCACGCTGGTATCTTTACGTTCGAGGAGCCTGTTTGCCACGTCAGTGAGAGCATCGGCACAATGGAAGTGAAGGTGCTGAGAACATCCGGGGCGCGAGGTGTGGTCATGCTGCCATATAAAACGGTTGAAGGAACAGCCCGCGGTGGTGGAGAAGACTTTGAAGACACTCATGGCGTCCTGGAATTTCAAAATGATGAAATCTTGTGAGTAGCTTTGATCATTTTCTCTTTAAATTCAAATCCAATAGAACACCAAAATAAATATTTGTAATTTATATCCTTCACTGTATTTTTTGTCAGAGTAATGTTTCAAATTTCTGATTGTGTGAGAGGTGCAGTTGCTGGTGTGATGCGGTCACAATGAGCAAAGTGGCGGACTGCTCAGATGGCCATTCTTCAAAATCAACACCCCCATAACACTCTTTGCTTCACTTCTCTTATTTCCTTTTGACTCATTTATGTTCATTCATCTGCTTATTCCCTTTATTTGGACTCTGTCATGCTGCTGCTTTAGTCTTACTGTGTATGTGCGTTTTTTAAATTGATTTTTGCACTTTTTCCCGTACATTTAGCAGAATCTGTTGCACTTTTGGTTCTGGTCAGAAGTGTGTTTGAAAATGTAATTACTGGTTAGACCGCAGGTGGCTTGAATTTTAAATAGATGTCATTATAGAAAATGATGACAAACATTGAAGGTTTTTTTTAAGCTAAACATCTAATGGGAGGAAAAGATGGGAGCAGCTTGTTGCTGGAAATGGTTCAAGAATTTAAACCGCAGGGTACCAGGGAAATGCTAAGAAAGGGTATGTCTCACATAAAGTTAATTTAGATTCACAATAGCCTTTTAAAATATCTAGTTGCCCTTTTTGGTTCTTTTTATACTGCGTGAGAACATCCCAGAACATCTAACCTGAACCCTGTAGATGCTTTTTGTTGTATTTTGTAGGTGAAAAGGTCTTTGACATTAATTTAAGGATCCCTGCTGTGAAATGACGAATCCTCTGTTCAAAGCTTTACTTAACCGACTGTTTGTTTGATGTTGATTCATGGTTGGCATTGTTATTACTGTTTGACCACAATTCAAGTGGCCTTTTGCCTCAGTGGTAGCATTGCTCAAAGACATCAGCTGGACTCTTCATTCCTGTCCGCTCCGTGGGGGTAATTTATTTATTTTATGTCTGTCTGCTGATGGTACGATTCAATAAAGTGATCTGAATTATTATTATATTTTTCCCCACACTGTTAATGTGGCACATTGACTAAACTCTATCATGTTAACAGCAGTACAAAATTGTTGGAGTAAAATAATTTGATGGGATTTTTCTCTGTATGCAAATGTTTTAATGCAGTAAAATTACTGTATATGAACAGCAGTATATAAGCTTGTAATATATTATTCAGGCTATAGTGGTTTATAGGCGTAGTGCATTGTAAGAGGTGTTGGGTTGCATTTGGGATGATTATCATAGATTTGTTTTAATTTTAGCCATCAATTGAATGCATTTGATGAAAAGATGGGTTGTGTAATGTTACCAAGCAAATAATTTTTAATAGAATTTTCATTTACACTGCAGTCCTGCTTCGACATATAGTGAGAAACACCTGTTCCACACAACTTTTTGTTTCACCCAAAATGTACTGTTTTCCATTAAACTTCAACAGCATAGACTGCTGGTTTTTACTCAAGGCCCCCTTTTCCTGCAAACATTTGGTTAGTCATCTCCACAAATAACTCTTGGCAGCAGTGTGTTTTTAGAAGAAGCCTGTAGGTCTAAACTAGTAAATTTGCTGGTAATACACTAAATTTTGCAGCTTTCAGGTTTTACCTTCTTTTTTATTGAGGTGATGCAACAGTAGAAACAACATTGGCATATTTCAACCAACTTGACACAAAAGAAATATATTTCTTATTTAAAATGTAGCATTCACATCTGCAGTGTTCTAATACTAGAGGATAAATTACCTGGGAACATTGTCTGAGTCACCCTGAACAATGCTTTGCAGCTTACAGTATAGCAACAAGGTAATGATGTGTTTTTACAAAGAGCCAGCTTGTTATACCTCTACAGAGCTAATAGAAATAGTTTTAATTGCATTGAGATTGTGTTTTAGATTTGCTGTACCTGTTAAGATATTACAGCAGTTTAACATTTTAAAGAGCATTTTGTGTTTGTAAATGTATGAGGAAGAGCATAACGTTTTTGATTTATTGCAAAATTGGTGTTTTGCGTAACCTGTATATATTATGTACCCAAAAATTGAGGTATCATTCAATTTCCTCTCTTCAAGTCGAGCCTCCTACTCTCATGGTGGCCAGCTTCTTGCCCTGTCTTTGAGTTTTGGTCATCCTCCAACTTTGCCTTTGACGGCTTGAGGCTACATCACAAGTGCCAAGTTATTTTAAGCACTTGGCAGTTAGAAAAACAGTGTCTGACTTCATAAAATCCAATGTTTGTGGTTTTTAAACAAGATGGACATTTATAAAAAAAAGTCTGCTTGTTTAATTTGTCAATGTTAAAAAAAATAAAAATACTGCTCAAAACACACAACTACATTCTAGAGCTGCATTTCAAATAGCCAATCTGTGATGGTTACTGGAGTGTGAATTTCCAGTCTGGTTGTGTGTTTCTGTGCGTGCGGGAGGGAATCATAATTTGATTTTCAGCTGTACCATGTTTCTCCACTGGCTCCCTGATTATGGAAATGATATAATTGATAGCCTACATACTTGTGTGTATTTATCCCTTTAGAAGGTCAAAAAGTGACAAGTGCATGACCAACTGTGTGATATGAATTACCAGCTACTGAATATGTATCAATGCCCACGATACGCATTCAAAACTGTGACTCAAGTTTTACTGACAACTAACAGATTACGTACTCTGCTTTTTTTTTTCACAAAGAGTTACTAAATATTTTTCTTGTCTCCCCCTTTCTCTGACGGGAAAACACTATTCTAATGTATCAACTTGAGGCATAAAATGAATTAAATTGCTGGCCCACGTTTTATTAAGTAGCCTGCTAATTGCATTCGGTCCACTCCTGACAAAAATAGAGCTGCAAGGTGCTCCAAATAACTCTGCACACCATATAACATGACTCTGATTCTATAACAGAGGATCAATTTAAACCAAGAAGTCTTGGGGTGAAGGGTGTGGGTCTGTTGTTTTTATGACAAAGTTTACAGAAAAATCAACTGATTAAGTTGCACAGATTTCACTTTAAATACATGAGATATATACCTCTTTAAAGATGGATTGTTTTTAAATATTTAGTGAGAAGGATTGATTACAGCAGCCAGATTTCCATATTATATATATA